TGGGGCGGTAGATGATTTGAAGTGATGGGACAAACTGCTCCAAGAACTCAGCCCATCGGGCTTGGCAGCGGCTGAGCACGGGCTGTGTTTTCAAGTGTTGAAGAGGGCGATGGTCGGTGTAGACGGTGACGGGCTGCAGCTCCACGTAGCAGCGCCATGTCTTGATTGCGTGGACAATGGCAAGGAGCTCCCGGTCGTGTGTTGCATAGTTGCGCTCTGCGGGTTGAAGCTTGCGTGACTTAAATGCAAGTGGCTGCATCCCATGGCCGTGGTCTTGGCAAAGAATGGCACCAACAGTGACATCCCAGGCATCGGTCCATATGAAGTATGGCCGTGATGGGTCAGCGACGGTGAGAACCGGTGCAGATGTGAGTGCCGTTTTGATCGCGGTGAAAGCGGTCTGCTGCGGTAGTCCCCACTGAAAAACAGCTCCTTGACAGAAGAGATCGGTTAAAGGGGCACAGATGTGGGAGAAGTTGAAGATAAATTTTCGATAATACTTGGCGAGGCCGATGAAACTTTGCAGCTCCGCTACCGTGCGTGGTGCTGGCCAATCAGCAAGGCACTGGACCTTTGTGGGGTCCATAGCAATGCCTTTAACACTGATGACATGGCCGATAAAGATGATGCTTGAACGGGCGAAGGTGCACTTGGAGAGCTTGGCGTAGAGGCGGTGTTGGCGGAGCGTGTCGAGGACGATGCGTAGGTGCTGAGCGTGTTCCTCGAGTGACTTGCTGAAGATGAGGATGTCATCGAGGAACACGATGGCGAAGTGGTCAAGGAAGGCCGAAAAATATCGTTCATGAGTCCCATGAATGTGGCTAGTGCGTTGGTGAGGTCGAATGGAAATACTCGGAACTCGAAGTGGCCGTAGCGGGTTCGAAACGCCGTCTTGTTGATGTCGTCTTCGGCGAGGCGGATCTGGTGGTAACCGGAGCGTAGGTCGAGCTTGCTGAAACCGTCGCTTCCCCAAACATGTCGAACAACTCCTTGACGCGGGGCAGCAAGTACTTGTTCTTGATCGTGATGGTGTTGAGGGCATGGTAGTCGATGCAAAGACGCAGGTCACCTTCCTTCTTGCGAGTGAAAAGCATGGGGGGAGCATATGGTGAGGTGCTAGGGCGGATGAAACCCTTCTTAAGAAGGTCATCGAGTTGTCGTCGTAGCTCCAAAAGTTCAGCAGTGCTCATGCGATAGGTTGGGCGCACGGGCGGTGTAGAACCTGGAATGAGGCGGATGCTATGGTCAATAGCACGATCGGGTGAAAGTTCGGCGGGTAGGTCATCGGGAAACACGTCCGTATAACCGTTGAGCAAATTCTGTATGGGTGGTGGCAGAGAAGTAGCTGATGCTTCAGATTCGGGAGCCGTGAAGATGACTAGGAGATGAGGAGGAGGTGGTGAAGGAGGGGTGGGGGCTGGTGGATTGATAACTTCAGAGAAGGGACGGAAGAGGTAACGGCGTTGTTGCTGGGTTGGGTGGGGTGGGGAAGGAGGAGGTGTGTTGATCACTTCGGAGGAGCCGGGTGGTGTTGGCTGCTGCGCGGGGGCTATGCGAGGAGGTGGGAGAGAGGGGATATGGGAGGCTGGAGGTGGGGCAGGTTGGGGTGGATGGGTTGATGGCGCTGAAGTTTGCGGAGATAACTAGAACAACGGGAGCTGATACTATGGGGTAGGCACAATTGTGAGAGGTGATCTCTGCGTTCGTTCCTTAGTCGTTCACTTGTGCTTCCTCTACTTGCACATTCACGAGGAGATTTGGCAAGGGTTTCACTAGTTCACAACAACAGGTTCAGAATGATTGCAACAACATTGGCAAGGTTGACTACATCAGAGCTAGCAAGCATGCAGGTCGACTGCCAGCACAGGACGGTCGACTGCATTCCAGCACGACATGGTCGCCCGCGCTCCAACAGTGCAAAGTCGCGGCCTGCCAACGCTGCAAGTCGACGGCGTGCCAACGCTGCAGCAAGGCGGCTGCACAGCGTTGCATACGCAAGACAGCAGCGCACCCGCTTCTCAGGTGCACGCAGATGATTGGCGTGCTGTGCCGCGTCACCCGCACAGCGCAGAGCACCAGGTCGTCCACGCGCTATCCACTGCACCTGATCAGCCACGTCGACCTCACGATACCACCACCGAGGTCGGCTTTGCCAGAACCACATGGGCGACCGTCGCGCTCCTCCGCAGACTGACGGTTAAGGTGGCGCTCAAGGAGTTATCGAGGGAGATCCACGCCTATTTTATGCCAGTAAAATTTCGAGTATCTGTACCGGGGGGAGCAGAATGCGTCATACACACGGCACACACTTTCCCAGTGGAGGAACCATTGAGGATCATCCTGCAGTTAGACATTGAAAACGCGTTTAAATGGGTGGGGCGCATCTGCTTTCTATCGACGCTAATATGGATCGGCCTGATATCGCTACTGCCATTCGTCCGTACGCTGTACGACGCACCGTCGAAGCTCCTCGTTGACAGCGGATTTGAGACCCCCTTTATAGACAGTGCGCGAGGGGTTCATCAAGGGGACCCACTAGGGCCCATGCTCTTCGTGACGGCTGTCCAACCAGTGCGTCAAACGGCAGCAGAAGCGGTTCCCACCGTGACTGTGATGGCGTACGCGGACGTCATCATGATCGTGGGGGAACCGGAAGATACAGTCAGAGCGCTCAACATGATACGCAACGAACTAAGCGAATATGGCCTTCGGTGCAACCTCGCCAAATCTTCTGCTTGGAGCCCCTCGGGAAACGCGGTGAACCTACCGGATGGACAGGTGGCAGCAGTGGACGATGTATTGGTGCTGGGAAGCCCAATAGGAACAAGAGCGTACTGCAGGCGCTCAGTTAGAGGAACCACTGGAGTCAACAACAGCACCACTGAGCCTCATCGGCAAGCTCCACCCGCAACACGCCCTGCTGCTCCTATCGCAATGCATCTCCTGCAAGATTTCGTACCTCCTCCGAACGACACCGGCCGACGTGCTGCCTCTCAGGGAATGGAGAGAGTGGAGTGAGAGACTCCTGTGGACGGCACTCAAGGCGGCCCACCTGTACACGCCAACCAAAGAGCTCGAACGGAGCCTGGTGTGGAGACAGGCAACGCTGCCAATTGCGCTAGGGGGCTTGGGTCTCATAGATCCGCTATCAAAGGTGTCAGCGGCGTACTCGGCACCATTGAAGGCGACATTGACATTCCTGCAGCAGATGTCTTCCACACCTTGCCACCCACTGTAGCGCGTGGCGGCACTGGTGTCACCACAAGGGGAAGGGGTAACGGCTGAAGGGGGGACAACATTGCGGGACATGCAGAACAGAAATGGCACGGGAACTGCTGAGGGCGGCCGGCAAGAACGGAGCGGAGAAAGGCCGTCTGCAGGAGCTCCTCTCAAGGCAAATCAACCTGGACCGGGCGGCTGAACTGGTGGGCGGCTGAACTGGTGGGCGACTCACGGATAGACCGGGGGAGGGCAACGGCCATGTCGTCCGCCTGATCAGCTTGCAATGGGGAGGGGCGGGGGACTGGCTCCATGCTATCCCCACGAGGGCGGACCTGACGTTCTCGCCAGGGCAGTTTACAATAGCCCTAGGCTTCCGCCTAGGACTGACCCTGCCATTGACAGACAACTGCCCATGCCATGGGGAGCAGTCGACGATAGAGGTCTATAGCCTACCAAACCACCTGCTGCGGTGCGCGGAGGGAAAGGACCGAACAAACACGCATAACACACTGATGTACGCTGCACTCCAGATGGCAAGGGAGGCTGACTACATGACCATGCATGAGACCGCCGTCTTCTCGCAAATCGTCAACCCTAAGCGAGCGGACCTGGTCATCAAGGACAAGGAGTCGGCCGAGACCTGGGTGACGTAAGTCACAGTGACCGACCCGGTAATGCAGCGCCGTGACACGCGGGCCATAAAACCGCCGGGCTAGGCAGCAGAGGATGCGGCAAGGGGAAAAGGAGGACTGTATGAGGGCAGGCCATAGTTCGTAGGCGTGTTTGGGCTGGCGGTAGAGACCTATGGGGCCTTGGCACACGACACCCAGAGGTTCCTCCGCTTCCTTGGCACCCAGGCGGCCAAAAAGAAGTACAGGCGGGGGAGGCTCACCACGGTGGCCTCTAAGCTCATGGCACACTACTGACAGCATTGGTCGGTAACCCTGCAGCGTAGCTAGGCCAACACGCTGTTGGCAAAGTCCAACAGGGCAACATAAAGGGCCTTTCCCCAGGCCCTGGCTGACTTGTGGGAACCCCGCCTAGGGGATCTCTGGCAGGTCTTGGAGGATGACCTGGACTAAGGGCCGCCCCTGGATATGTGAGGGGCGGGAGCTAGGGACCCCAGGCAAGGCTAGCAGGTCCCGAACAGGCCCTTGGCCAACAGGTCCAGGGTACAAGACTTTAGGGTGCTTTTCCTGCATTCCGTGGATGTGCTAGTATGCTTAGATCCCGGGCTTTGACATTGTTGGGGTCTACATGTCTACAACCCTTAGCCTCTTAGCCTCTCATCCCCTCCAGCCCCTAGTATGAAGGCCCTGGGCACCTCGGTTTGGTTCATTATTCAGTTTGGAGGTTCATCTCTCCTAACCCAGCCGCTCGCGGCCGATCTATCCCCTACAGCCTTAGTTCAGCTTAGTTCAGCATAGTATAGAGTGGTATAGCGGCTGTTCTATGCTTCTTTAAGACTCACTCTCTTAGTGTAGCCCGCCATGAGGCCTATAAGCAGTACAACCCCCTACTAAAGGCCCTCTTCCCCACCTTCACCCCATTAGTTCCTGGTTTGTTGGTTTCCTCCCAACCCAACGGCTCGCACCGGCCGCCTTCTTCGGCCGCGCGTTTGGGGCGACAAGGACTCAAGAGGGGAGGACACAGTATAACATGAAGCATTACAACAGGGATCACTAAAAGCTGGGGATAACAACAACAACAACAGCGGCCAGGAACCGCCGCAATGGGAAAGGGGAATGGGACGGAGAAGGGCGCGAAGCAGCCTGCGCCTACACCCTGTTCAGAAGGTAAATGCGCCACCGCAGCCACTGGAGCACTGATGCGAGCGCAGGCACGAGCCCGAGGGGTGCCTCTTCAGCTGCCATGGCTACCCTCCACAAATGCGTCGCACCCGGGCCCTCATTCTCGGCGGGGGCCTCACTCTCCAACGGCAGGTGGAGCAGGGTCCACAGGCACTGGGCGGCAACAGCACGAACCACGCCCTGCTGCTCCTCATCGAGCTGGGGATTGCGCGCAACATCAGGCCTGCTCTGCAGGCCAGCATCCAGTTGGTCAAGCACCATCGCGAGGAGTGAGAGACACTCCCCAACGTCTGACAAGCGCCGCTCCCACCGGACAATGTCCGCCACTATCGGGGTGTCTGTGGCCCACCGCCCCAACAAAAACCCGGGCTGAGCAGGGGCGGTCCAAGTATCCCGCTCTAGCCACCACTCCTCCGGCGGGTCAGGAGCATCGTCCGGAATTCCGGGAGGAGAGCGGCGGGGAAACCGATGCACCCGGGGCACGACCGGCGGAAGGAGAGGACGCTGTCGCTGCTGCCCCTGGTCCCCAGCACTGCCCGGTGGGGCGGCAGAACAGGAGGGACCACGGGAGGATCCGCGCATGGCGCCGACGGAGGAAGCTGAGAAGGAGGCGGCCATGGAGGCTGTACGACCGGGGTCGGTGGAGGCGGAGGAGGTGCGACCAGCGCGGCGCCCGTCGGCAAGGGAACCACCGACGACGGCATGGACGAGGACGGCGGCGGCTGGGGTGCCAGAAGGGACGCCCACGTCGGCGGCAATTGTGGCGTCGGCACCAAACTCTGACCCAATGAGACAGACGGCGCCATCAACGGGGAGGGCAACTGGGGCGCTGACGCAGACGAGTGCTGCTGCTGCGACGAGGAGGCTTGGGTCGGCGGCGGAGGAAGCCGCGGAGGCGGCGGAGGAAGCTGCGGAGGCGGCGGAGGCTACGTTTGAGGCTCGAGTGAAGAGCCAGCAGTGCCTGAGGCCGCGGTGGCTGAGCCAGGGACCGCGCTGACCGCGGGGCAAGAGACTGCGACGGCCGGGGAGGGCGCCGGCGGCGGAATGACTGGCCACGGGCCCTTAGATGGGGATGGGTTCGGCCACGGGGAGAACGATAAATCGGCTCCCGAGACCCAGACGAAACGACAGGCGCCCGGGAAGAATTGCCGCCCGCCGCGGCTACAACAACATCAGCGGCGGCTCGGAGCAGGGCTGGCACCTGCCCGACCTGGGCCTCTGGTAGGTTGGACGCAGCAAGATGACTCGCCCCAGGCGGCCGCCAAGGCAGGGGATGGCGCCGACCCGTCATCAACACGCCGCCGTGAGATTGCGGCAGAAGCTCGGGAAGACGCGATGGAGGCTCTGGACGAGAGGGAGAGTGCTGCAGAAGATGCGATGGAGAGAAGGGCCGAGACGCGACACAACCGCCACCGGGGGGAAACGAGCCGGCAGAAGGCCCTACGGGCGCAGGCCAACCAGCGTGCGGCAGGCCGACCGCCGCAAAACGAGGGCGCCTGGGAGCAGCAGCGAGGGGGCCTGGGGAACCTGGTGAGAGCAGTGGCGAGGTAAAAAGCCAGATCGGGGGACTGGTGGGAAAGACACGGAAGGCCAGAACGGACTGGCACACGACAGAATGTTAACCCAATGAATGAAGGGGAGGAGGGAAGCGACGAGGAATATATCGAATCAAAGGAGGGGGACTCAGAAGATATCTCCCTAGAGGCAGAAGAGGGGGTCCCGAACATTGGCGCAAACCAGGGGCACAGGAGAGCGCGAAACGCACAACCCGCACAGGTGGCCGAATCAAGCGCACATGCTGGCAAGAGGACAGCCAATGAAGAACGTTAGGCATCGGAAATCGCAAATGACGAGACCACGTGGCAGAGGGTGAAGGAGTGGGACCTGTCACCCCTACGCAACAACACCCAACCTTTCCTGGTGCGGAAGCTTCCCCCCAACATTCTGGGAATCTTCGGCTACTGCCTCACAATCCCCCTGCTATGACGTTCCAAGAAACCAACCTGCCAAGGAGCCTGGCGAATGTTGCTATTCCTGCCACGATTCACACTTAGAGCTTGCATTGGGAAAGTACCTGGAAACAAGTGGAGCGAGGTGGCAACAAGACTGGACCAGTTCAAGTTGGAGAAATGGGACCTCCTGTACTCCCAAGCCTGCACCATACCCCAGAACCCACAACCGAGCCATCATCAGCCAGACCCCGAAGGCATTTGTGCGAGGGCTGAGGGTCTGGTTCGCAAGGCGAATCTGGCCAAAGCGGTAGCAGCGTTACAGACATCGCCACTCGCATAACCCTCACAGGCGACCCTGGAAGCACTTAAGGGGAAGCACCCAGAGGCGGGGAACGACATCCCGAACTGGTAACGGGATTTTCCGCAAGCAACCTATCGACGTCAGCGGATATTTTTCGTGAAGTGCTGGCGAAATGCCCCAATGGAATCAGAGCCGGACCCTCAGGCACATGCTTTGAGCATCTACGAGACCTCGCTCTCACAAACAGTGAAGTATTCACATACCTTCACAGCGTCGTCAACCACGTCCTAAGCACCCACCTGCCAGTGGATCTGACGGAACTCTTGCTACCGTCTAGGCTGATAGCCGTAGAGAAACCAGAGGGAGGCGTCAGACCCATAGCCATAGGAGAAGCGATATTATGACTCACAGCTAAGGCATCGCTAAGGGAGCTGAGCGCGCCCATCCGAGAATACTTCTTACCAGTGTAATTCGGAGTGGCAGTACCTGGAGGAGCAGAGTGATTTTTCGCACGGTCCGGGCGCTCCTAACCGAGGACCCGAAACGAGTGGCGCTGCAGCTAGATATCGAAAATGCCTTTAACTCGGTCGAACGGGCGGGTTTCTTTGAGTCCCTGCATTTCTCGGGACTTAACTGCATTATACCACTAGTCCGCACACTCTATCGCACGCCCTCCTGCCTGCTACTGGATCAAGGCTTTGCAACACCACACATCGAAAGCGCACGCGGGGTCCGCCAAGGAGACCCACTAGGCACCACGCTCTTCGCAGCAGCCATCCAAGAGGCACTCCAAGTGGCAGCCGACATGGCTTCCTACTGTCACGGTCATGGCCTACGCTGATGATATCACGACCGTGGGAGCAGCACCCGAGGCCGCATTAGCACTAGGTATAATCACGAGGCACCTAACCAGCCGCGGCCTTAAGTGCAACCTCGCGAAGTTATCAGCATGGAGCCCATCAGGCATACCTGACGATCTACCCGACAGCCTGGTGGCAGCAGTGGACAGCATCCGAGTCTTGGGGAGCCCGATTGGGACCAGGGATTACGGGAGGCGCATGATCACGACGTACCTGGAATCGGTGGCGACGCCGCTGGACCTGATCGGCAGCATCCACCCACAACACGCGCTACTCCTGCTGTCACGCTGCATTGCCAGGCGCATCTTGTACCTGCTCCGCACAACACCAGCAGACACGCTGCCTCTAGAAGAGTGGCGGGAGTGGAGCGAGGGACTGGTGTGGACAGCACTAAGGGCGGCACACTTACACGTGCCAAGAAAGGAGATCGAGCAGAGCCTAGTGTGGAGGCAGGCGACCCTGCCAGTGTGCCTAGGCGGCCTGGGTCTGATAGATTCTGTATCAGAGGTGCCGACAGCCTACCTAGCATCCTTGTGCGCGGCCCACACCCCATTGAGCGGCATCCGTGAGCACCCAGATCACCCACTGAGGCGAGATGTACACCTGGTGTCACCTGAAAGCACCGTGGGGACAGAACAGGGAGGGGAGACCTTGCACGACCTCAAGAGCAAGCTGTCGGAAAGCGCACAGGAACTCCTGCACGAGCATCACCACCAGAGGGGGGGGAAGGGGCGGCTGCAGCTAGGACTATCACGTTATGTCAACCTGGACAGGGCAGCATAACTGATAGGGGACACACGAATTGATAAGCCGGGAAAAGACAACGGGTATGTGGTGCGGCTCCTAGCCCTGCATGCGCGGGGGGCAGGAGACTGGCTACACGACATACCCACGCGAGCGGACCTCACCTTTTTGCCTGGGCAATTCGCCATAGCCCTTGGCTTCAGGCTCGGCCTTACCCTGGCAGTCACAGAGCACTGCCCCTGTCGCGGCAAACTTTCCAAGATAGCAGGTAGAAGCCGGCCTAATCACCTACTGAGATGCACGGGTGGAGAGGGCCGCACCAACACCCACAACGCGCTGGTGCGGCGCTACGCATGGCACGTGAGGCAGATTTCACTACCTTGCACGAGACGAACGCCCTTTCGCCCCCTGTCAACCCTAAATGGGCGGACCTGGCCTTCCGTGACAAGGAGTCTGGTGAAACCTGGCTCACAGACGTGACAGACCCAGTGCCAGTCCTTGGTCCCTTAGCCTCTCCCAGCCTCTCTGTCCTAGCCTTTCCTTGTATATAAGCTGCACCTGGTACCCTTTCTCTTCATTATTCTCCGTTGAGTTCATTGCACTCTCAGAATCTAGCGGCGCTCGACAGCGCGGCCTTCGGCCGCGCGTGAGGGGTGGCAAGAAGCAAGCAACAGTCATCACTAGTAAGTTATACATCATGTAGAACTAAATAGGCCCTCGAGACAAGGGTACGGTAAGTCGGGGAGGGCGGGGGTATGGGGAACAAGAAGGCAAGCGGCAAAGCCCAGAAGGGGCGGGACACTACACGCGGTTCAACACGTAAAACTGCCGGCGGATCCAGCGGAGCAAGACAGCGAGGGCAGGCACGAGCTGGAGCGGAGCCTCCTCAGCAGCCCTGGCGACCTGGCGGAAGGCCCGCGCGCCCGGCCCCTCGTTCATGTCAGGGTGCTCGGACTCCAAGGGCAAATGGAGGAGGCGCCAAAGACCCTGCGCCGCAGGCTCACGAACAAGACCCTGCTGGTGCTTCGTCAGATGGGGATCCTGGAGCACGGAGTTCCGCGCCTCCAAGCCGGCGTGCAGCTGCTCTAGAGACGTCGCCACGTGCGAAAGACACTCACCAACTGCTACCATGCGCTTCTCCCAGCGGAGGACGTCTTTTATGAAGTTGGACTGGATGTCCCACTCCCGGTTCCACAAGGTCGCGGGTTGCGGCGGAGACTCCCACAGCTCCCCATTCCACCACCGCTCGTCATCGTCGGGGTCGAGAGTGTCGGGAGGAAGCTCGGGAGACCGAGCTCGAGGAGGAGGAAAGCGGGCAACAGGAACATGCTCGGAAGGGACGAGATGCTGCCACTGAGGAAGCTCAACCAGAACAAGGGACGCAGAGGGAGACTGAGAACGGACGGGAGGCACGAGTAGTGCCCCGGCAGACGGCGCCAGTGGAAGAGGAGCCAGAGGAGGAGGCAAGGGAGATGGCAGGGCCGAGAGTGAGGTCATTGGCACTGGAGAGGGCTTCGACACTTTGGGAGGCAACAGGTGAAAGCCGCAGTGCCAGACGACTGGAGAGACACAGACGGTGAGGGGGATGACGGCACCACCAGGCGATGGGACGGCGGCTGCTGAAGAAGGGGCCCAACGATCTATCGCTAGACAGCAGGAGGGTGTCGAGGCGGACGGCGATGGCGAAAGGGCCCGGAGATGGGGATGAGTCCGCCCGCGGGGAGA